AAAAAAAAAAAAAAAAAAAAAAACATTAAATAAAACTGTATGCCCATTTTATAGATGAAAAAACGAGGCTCAGAGAGGTTACTGATCTTGCAATTAAGTGGTGAAGTCAGAATTAGAACCTGGATCAGATTCAGGGTCCTGTTCTCTCCACTGATTGGCCCCTGCTGCTTCAGGGAGCAAATGGGGAGGGCCAGGGTGATGGGGAAGGGGTGGAGGGAGGCAGCTCTTATGGGAGTTCTCCCAAGAGAGCAGCAGCACAGGGCCTGGCACAGGACAGTGGTGGTCTGGCCTCACCCTTATGGGGACCAGAACTTTGTGGATGCGCCTTTTCCTCCCCACTGGTTACCATGGAGATGGGGGTGGGATGTGTGAAGATCTGTCTCAAGCCTGCTACCCAGGCTTGTCCCAGAGATGCCAGCAGTAGGTGGACACACTAACCATTGAGAGGAAGGAAGGAAAAAGCTGGTCTTTACCTCTTCTTTTCTTTTTATTGTGAAAGCCCCAAACACATACAGGAACATGGCGTGTGGAACAGTAAGCCTGGCTTCAGCAGTTAAAGTCTCAGCCAAACTTACTGTGTCCACGTCCCTTCCCCTTCTCTCATCCCAGATTATTCTGAAGCACATTTCAGACATCAGCCATTTCTTTTACAAACATTTCAGTGTATAACTCCAAAGCATTTGGTTTTGGCCACCCTTGTACCTCCTCAAACTATTTAATAACAGGAATGCCTTTACTATCAGCAAATATCCGGTTAGTACTCAAATTCCTCTGGTTATCTCATAAAGCGTTTCTTTAGCTAGTTAACATCAGAATCCAAATAAAGTCCGAAGGCTGCGCTCGACTGGGATGGCTTTGTATGTCTCCTAATTGGTAGCTTCTCTCCCCTTGTATTTGTTCCCTTGCAATTTATTTGTTGAAGAAACTGGCTTGTTCATTCTGTCATTTCCTGTGGTCTGAACCTTGGTTATAGCATCTCCATAGAAGTGTTAGGTGTTCCTCTTCCCGCTATATTTCTTAGAAATTAGTAGTTAGGTCTAGAAGCTCACTTAGATCGATGTTTGATTTTTTTTTTTTTTTTTTTGGTATGACTACTTCCTATTGGGGGTTATGTGCTTCCATTCAAAGGCACATAATATCTGGTTGTTCCTCTTTGTGATGTTAGCAGCTGTTGTTGATGATCATTGTCTAGCTCTGCAATTTCTTTTTTTTTTGAGGTCTTGTACTTGTCACCTAGGTTAGAGTGCAGTGGTACAATCATAGCTCTCTGCGGCCTTGACCTCCTGGGCTCAAGGGATCCTCCCACCTTAGCTGGGACTATAGGCACATGGCCACATCTGGATAATATATATTTTTTCTTTTTGCAGAGATAGGGTCTTGTTATGTTGCCCAGGCCTGTCTTGAACTTCTGGCCTCAGGCAATCCTCCCACCTCGGCCTCCGAAAGTGCTGGGATTGCAAGCATGAGCCACTACACCTGGCCCATTATTTCATTAGAGATTACAACATGGTGGCATACTGATTCTATGATTCTGTCTTTGGTAATAGAAGTAGGTCTATAAAAGGTATCAACTTCTCAACTATTTGGCTACCAAAAAGTATGGTTTGTACCAGAAAGGATAAATGTTTCTTTCCCTTTCTTTGACGGTTTTCAAAATGAGTTGGTTTTCCA